ATGCAAGTTTGAAATTAAAAAAAAAATACTAAATCAATTACAGCATAGAATACTGTAATAATGCAAGGTACAGCGATTTTAATCTGCACTGTCATTTTATTACACAAAATTTCTCATAATATGAAAAACTAGGCAATACATTATTAAACTGTTTACTTCTACCTCTTTTAATGTACACTCAAAATTTGTCTTAATAGAGGCATCTGCAGATTTATGTTTTCTGGTCTTTTGTTAGTGGGTTGAAATTGACTAATTTACGTTACCATCATTTTTTCCCCTCTGACTTTCTTTGTTAACAAGCTATTCATAAGGTGATTGGCAGAGGTTAGGAGTTAAGTCTATGACAATAGAAACCCATGAACCTGCTTCACTAAGATTAATGACTAATATTTCCTTAGGTTATCTTACTTCTGTAGACATCATTGATCATTTTCACTGGTTATAATATCACCCAGAGTCAATAAGGCCAGCACTATAGCTTTTAAAGCTGACCTGGCTAGTTTCCATAACTAGCTTGAAGTGATGCTAAAATTCAATTCATCTCCCCAGTTTAGAATTCACCTTAGTTTGAGCTGCATCAGCAACGTTACTTCATTTTCTCCTGTGAAAATAGAGCTTGTTGTTATTGAGTCTCACTCAAAAGGTAGGTTTACTTGAGGAAGAAGTGATTTTTGTGTATTTATAATTATGGAGAGAGGCAGTGTACCATCATGGTTAAGAGCAAGTCCTTTGGAGCCAGCGTGCCTAGGTTCAAACTCTAGCAAGACCATTTATTAGCTGTGTGACTTTAGTTCAGTTTTACCATCTGCAAAAATGGAAATGGTGACCATTGCATCTACCTCATAAAACTACTGTGAGGATTAACTGAGTATCTATATCTATACATAAGTATCTTTGCTCATATAACATATGGGGTGCCAAAAAAAGGTATATGAATTTTAAGAGATGTTATATATGTATTACTTTTGAAGTTAAATTAAATTATGGTAGCAATGTGTAGTATGATGTTCACTCAACCGTGCTTCCACCATTTTCTTTGACTGTCCCGCCTGTCACATGGTGATGTTAGCATTCACTTGATTAACAACATCTTTTGAGTGAAAGTGATACTTAACTGTGTATACCTTTTTTGGCATTGTCTGTATAATAGAATAGAATATATGGTGTAATATATAATATAATATGAGAGAGACCATTTGCAATCATACCTGGTACATAAGTGGTTTATAATAACAATAATAATACAATATTATTAGGCATAATTTGTCTATTAAGGTCTGAAGACCTTAACTGAAACAAGAAATAGCTCTTGAAATTTGTTTGTCTTTTTGTTTCCTTATCTATTCCCAGAGCTAAACAACAGAAAAAAGTTTATATTTCCCAAATGTATTTGGATTCTGACATTATGTAATCTCAAACTACCAGTCTAAGTTCAGCAAAAACTTTCATTGGTGGCACCTTGACTCAGCCTGAGGACAGAATGTACAAATTTGTTGCTTGTTCGGCTTGGCTCACCCTGGGGTAACATGTGAAGAACACTGGACCAGAGAAACTGTCATGGGATGTTTTAGTCTATCCTTTTTCTTCAGTGAATGACTTGTATCTAATTACAAATGCCTATGAGATTTGAAATATTTGAGCTGACAGCCTGAATTGATCAAATTAACTGAAAAACTGTCAAAATCCCACCACATTTTGTGTTAAAGACAGATCACTCAATGATGGCAAAGATGGCAGAATATTTGCTGTTCACTGATTTCTGAAATCGCTGCTACTCTTCTCATCCCCTTTGAGTTTATCTTTATTATCTCATGCTTTGGGCCTAGAATAATAGTCATGGAACCATGGATTCATTGAATCTCAGAGCTGTGGGGGACTTCAGAGTCCATCTCGCCTCTATTCATCCTTTCACCAATGAGGAAACTGAGATTCATTATGTTTAAATTGACTTACATAATTCACATGGGTATTGTTCGATTTGAGTTTAAAGAGTGAAATCTTAACAAGATGATAACTTGCTATTTTCCAGTCATTAACAAGCTCTGAGCTTACTATTACTGGATACTAAAAGAATTTCCAGGTTCTTTTGTAGATGCTTTGCTCTTTGAAATTTGTTGAAAACACATAAAGAGTGTCATATTCAAACACTTGTGCTTGCTATTATTTATTTTTTCATGGTTACTACGTGCAAGCAGACCTTTCTCGAGAGTTGTTAAAGGATTTCTCTTCCTCATCATTTAAGTACAATCCAGAAGCAACTATTGTACCCAATAAACTGCAAAACACAGAATCTAGGATTCTTGAAGCGACTGTCAGGTACTCCTTTAATTATGTTTCTTTGGATTAAACTGAAATCAAACTTCACTTAGGCTCGCAATTAAAAAAAGCTGAAAGTTCAGTTCAATTTGCTATTTCCTTTACTAGTTACACCCTGCTTTAATGTGAAATATTTTAGCTTCTGCCTATCCCATGCTTTTACTCCTGCTTCCTTATACACAAACACAAACCTACACATACATATGCAATCTCTCAAAGTTTTTTTCTACCAAATGGAGCCAAAGAACCACTGGTCTAGAAAAATATATATGACACATGGCCAAATAGTTATCATACTATACAATAATTTATCCTAAAACTCCAAAGTATTTTTTAAAATGTTGGCTTCCTTTCCTTCTTCTTAGGTCATATAGGATCAGGAGTGTTCAGGGTGGTCTGGCCGTATACAATGCCTCCAACACCCAGTATTCCCAGATGGTTTCCTATCCAACCTGTCCTAACCAGACTTGAATTCTTTCCTTTTTTTTGAGTTGGAGTCTCACTCTTGTCACCCAGGCTGGAGTGCAGTGGCATGCTCATGGCTACCGCAGCCTGGGACTGCTGGGCTTAGGCGATCCTTCCACCTCAACCTTCCAAGTAGCTGGAACTACAGATGCACACCACTATGCTCTGGCTAGTTTTTTGGTGATTTATTATAGGGACGAGGTCTCACCTCCTTTCCTTTCTTAAAAAAGATCTCTAAGAGTCTGAAATGCTCAACTTACCATATATAGAGTATAGGTAAAATTTCACTGGAACAAATACTACTATATTATACTTCGAGCTTTTTTTCTTATAAAGGGATTTGGTAAAGAAAATTGGGTCCAGAATCACGTAAACATAGTTCACAGAGTCAGGACTTAGATTTATAAGAAAAAGCTATCCAGCTTCCCTATTAAGAATGAGGAAATTAGAGCCTTGAACCTAATAATGGATGGATATAAACAGGATTTCTTTCTCCCATCTCAACATTAAAAAAAAAAACCAAAAAAAGACAGCATCTTCCCAGCTAAAGATTGTATACTTTGCTGTACTTTGTTCTACTTGTTTGGAAGCTGAGTTGGCTGTCCTCAGAGGATGGGTTAGCGTTTTAGAGGTGGATGTAAAGAGTGAATAGTCATGGTTGACATCGTTGACATCTACCTCTGCGTTGCTGGCTTGGCCTCCCCCTACCTGCCCCCCCCCCGCTCTCCCTTCCTTCCTGCTTTATCACAATACAGAGGACACAGTGGGAGCTGTCACAGGGTTGAACATTTATTCCTGCATTCCTGGACACTCACACCTCTTTGTAGTGATGCAACTCACAGTGCTGCAATTGTGTGGATTCACTGGAATGTGGAAAGAAGGCAGTTGGAATTGCCCTTATGCCCCGTCACGACTGATTTCCTCCAATCTCTCCTACTAGCTCAGCCCTTCCCTCTAGCCTTCTCCTATATACCTTGTCATTTTTTTTTTCTTTTGAGTCGGGGTCTCACTCTGTCACCCAGGCTGGAGTGCAGTGGCACGATCACAGTTTACTGCAGCCTCGACTTTCTGGGCTCAGGCAATCTTTCCCCTCAGTCTCCCAAGTAGCGGGCACTATAGGCGTGTGCCACCACACCTGGCTAGTTTTTTGTTTTTTTTGTAGAGTCGAGGTCTCGCTATGTTGTTTCCCAGGCTGGTCTTGGACTCCTGGGATCAAGCAATCCTCTTGCTTCGACCTCCCAAAGTGCTGGGATTAAAGGCATGAGCCATCATGCCCAGCTTCTTGTCATCTTTTATTAGTACAGTTGATCTTATTTGTAAAAACCCATGAAAAGCAACGAAAAAGAACAAAACCAAAATTGTTCTCCTATGAAGGCAGGGCAAGCACAATAAAGTATTTTCAGGGTGAGGTGAGAGTTTATCTCACTTACCCCCTGCTTGTCTCCTGGTGGCCAGGAGCACATGTTTGCAAGTTGGTAGGCTAGGGCAGAGATACAGTCTGCGTGTGACCACTGAGTAGGCAACAGCCCATCGGCTGTCACTGGGAAATATTACATCCATGTCTTATTGGCACATGCATTAAACGAAGAGTTAAACGCTCCTGACCAGTTGTATCCAGCCTTTGTGAGCCCAGTAGCACATGACTCTTCTTCCAGGATGGGTTGGCTCTTAGGCTAGCATCTGAACAGATCGTCAATCAAATGGGAACCAAGTGAACTTGGCAGAACCTGAGACCAAGGTCACATGTGAACAAGAATTATTCAGACCTCACATTTGACACTTAGGTCAAGGGAAAGCCTTTCTAAAAGAATTTTTTTTTTCCATCCACACAGGTGATAGGGTCTGAATAAACTGAATTAAAATAGAGCCAGTTTTGAAGCACCCATGGGTGTGCTTCTACGATTTTTATGTGGCAATTCACAAACCACTGGATAGGTGATGCTGTACTAAAAGGAACGTAAGCCTGTCAGGTTAATTACACAATATTAGGTACGAAAACAAACAGTGCAACACAAAACATAGCTACATCATTATTTGCAGTAAATGTTAACTCTAAATAAGTGCAACCTGTCCATAAATGCTTGCTATAAACTAATTAAAAAAATAAAAATTTGATGGATAAACATGAAAAAAAAATTCTCACCGAGAATTTTTTTTTTAAATATCAGCACTCATTTAGAGTTTGGGATTTGTGAAAGAAAGCTTTAAAAGGAGCAAACCTGATTGGCTGTGGCTGTTGCTGCGAAGGGGACACTTGTTGCAGGAGTTGTTGCTGCAGAGACAGTGGCGGACGTAGCGCTGTGCATCATGGGTACTTTCAGGAGGGGAGCCATGGGAGCAATGAACAGGAGGGTGTAGCATTATGGTAATAGAAGTGGTATTTTGGCATGGTGAATATCAGAGCAGCAAGCCATCATGGGTTAAACCAGCAGATGGCATGCAATCACAATGCAAAGCAAGGAAGCATGGGAGAGAAATAAAAAAGGGAAAATAGCTTATTACAAGTACAATTAAAGGAAGTTTTAAAACATAATCAGTGATTCCCAGAAATGCCAAAGCAGCTTACTTTGGTTGATGTATTTATACACATTTTATTACTTCTAACAATAGATCCATTCCCAATTCAGATATATAGTGTATGCAATAATGATTGTTTCTAAAAACGTGAAAGGTAGTGTCCAGTGAAGTAAGTAACAAGTTCTAAAACATTGGAGGCTTAACGTGTAGGCCTGATTTGGGATAGAATGTCCTTTGGAATTAATTATGGTTACATTGAATTTTTTTCCCCAATTTGGGACGACTTATATAAAATAGAACTGCTGTGGATTGTGGTTTATTTGAATCAGTAAAAAAGGGAGCAAAAATTATGGCCTTGATGCAATTTCTAACACAGTTACTCTGAAATAACCAGAAAATTTTGCCAATGTTTCTTTTTCTTGACTCTAAATAGAACTAATCAATATGTCCTAAAGACAGACTTTTGTACCAAGGCACTAAAATGTGTGAGGATAAGTATATACTATGAAAATTTAAGAGCTAGGGAATGCTAAAGTACAAAAAAAAAAATCATCACGAGTAAATCAATACTTAAAATTGAAAAAGATAATCAAGTTAGGCAGTTCCGACATTAGGTTTCAAAATACATCCATTTATAATTTTTAAAAAATAAATACTTCTGGGAAACTCTGATAACTCTAACACACAGCAAAGAGGAGATAAAGGCACACCACTATGAAACTTTAAAACATTGATGAAATTAGCCTGCCTCTCTATAAAGTAAGCTTTTTTCCTTATGCTACACCATATAAAGAGAAACAACAAAATCATTAAAAAGCAGACTCGTACTTGTGGTTTTATGTTTTTGTAGTGATTGTTCTAGCACAAGAGGTCACATTAAAACTGTCATTTTCTTAAATATACAAGTACATTTTTAAAAACCTCTATGTTAACTCTAAAGCCAAATAAGCCTTCAGATCTACTATTTCCGATAACATTTCTATCATCTCTGAAATAAATTTCAAGCAAGTGAAGGTATCATACATCATATAAAAGACAAATAAAAAAAGGTTGAAACCTACCAATACTGGTAGCGGGTGTCATGCACAAAACTGACCCTGATGTCATGCAATGGTGGGTGGAAAAAGTGAATAAAGGGAAAGAAACAGGTTAGCGGTTTAGAGTTAACATTCAAAGTGAGATTGAAGCACAACCAGAAATAAGTAGGGTTAGTTCACATAGTCTGTTAGGGCCATTCACATTGTCAGTACAGACACAAATATATCTGACTTCTTTTAAGCCAATATTATTCCAAGCTCACTCCTTAAACTACTGTTCACAGTTTCTATTCATATACATTGACATGCTTCTCATAAGAATGACATGTGATAAGGCTGTAGTGTCCTTCCTCTCAGACCTCGAAGTATTTTACAGACATTGTCAAGTTAATCCTTCAAGGCGGGAAGTGGGTCTTTTACAGATGAAAAATCTGAGGCATAGTAACTCCTCCAAGGTCATGCATAGTCAAGGGTAAGGCTGGAAATAGAACTCTATTCCTAAATCCAGGTCAGGTTTTACATCCACTAGATTACACTGAACTTATTGCATTAAAAGTTTACCTGTTTGAATGTAAATGTTTTGCATCAACAACAATATGAAAAGTAATTAAGAGTTCACCTTTCCAAATCAAAGACTCATAGGGGGAGGGTAGGTGATTTTTAGATCACTGTTTGAAAGCCCAAAACATAGGAAGACAAAAGTTCTTGGATAGAATGACCTGGATATATATGTAGTCTGCTTTTTGTAATGATATTCCTTATAGTAAATAGGTAGTGTCTAGCAATAAAATCTAAACATTGTAGAGGCACAATGGTGCAGGATGGGGACTGAATTAGAACGGGGGTTAGGAGTTTTTGTCATGGCTACTATAAGGTGACCCCTGAAGAAGGTCTTTGGCAAAACTCCTAGGAATCTCAAGTTAGTATCTAAGTGGGCAGGTGGAGGTGGGGGGAGGATTTCAGTTCTTTCTTAAAAACAGCTGTCTTAGCTGTAATGGTCTTATTAATGCATTTAAATCAGAAAACACTGATCATGAATATTCATGTATATTGTAGAGAACTGAAAAAAGAACTGTATTGAAAGCTTTGCGGAATTGTCTGTTACTGGTTTAGCCCCAAGTAAATCAAGGTAATATTTGAATTTAGATAACTGAAGACTGGATATTGTGTAAGTGCCTGAGAAGTAGCTTTTAATGAATGAAACCTAGGGTTTCAAAACTGCTTTCTGAGATATTACATGAAAAATCTGAGATCTGTAGGTGTTTTTTCTCTCTGCTGAGCTGTTCACATTGGAGGGAGACTTTTTGCCTGAGTTATATTTTGATCAGGTAAACATACCTAGTCAAGAAAGGGGCTACTTAACTGGGCTACTAACAGATTCTTCAACAAACATGTGCCAATATATCCAACTTCACACACACACACACACACACACACACACACACACACACACACACACACACACATCTCTCAAAACCCCCTTTTCTAACATCACATCTTTCTCCAGTCCTATTTCTCTAAACTTCTGGAAAATTACCTACCATAACTTTTTGCTTTCTTATCCCCATTTATTTTTCAATACTCTCCAATTTGTCTTTCATTTCCACCTCTTCTGAAGAAGCACTTCTTTGGAAAATGTTCAGTTGTTCTTTTACCTACCTCCCCATGCTATCAAGTCAGTTTTCAAACTGAGCATGTCACTTACCAAAGAATTCCACATTACTACAACCGGTAGAACTCTTCTATCTTCACTTGTCTGTTCCTGATTCTAAGTAGAATTTAACACTTGGACACTCCCTGCATAATAAACAAACCACTCTCTTCTCTTAGACTGACTCACTCTCTCTCTCTCTCTCTCTCACTCACTCACACACACACACACACACACACACACACACACACACACTTTAAAAATCTTTCTGGCAACTACCTTTTGTCTACTTTGCTGAATTATCTTCCTTCCCTGAATGCTATACCAGGCAGGACCCAAGAAAAATGGAATTTAGTTATAAAAAATTGTGCATTTATTCTTACATGTTTAAACTTCAGTCACTTCAAAGTACTCTCCATTTGATACAATACACCTACTGAGATGCATTTTCTACATTTCTACAGCTCAAAACAGTTTCTAAGCTCATCAGTTTTGATGCATTTGAGTGCTTCTGCTGGTTTTTGTTTCACCTCTTCCACATCGCCAAAATGTTTCCCTTTGAGGACTTTTTCATCCACGCAAACAAAAAAGTCGCTCAGGGTGAGATTGGGTGAATAAGGAGGATAAGGCACAGGGGTCATGCTGTTTTTGGTCAAAAACTGCTGAATACTCAGCACAGTGTGGGCAAATGAGCTTGTAAATCACCCATCGTGAAATGGGCAAACGCATTGAAAGAATCTCCAAAAATATTTCACTGAAGCTGAACGCAACCTCTCACAACAATGCTGATGCTGATGGTTTCCTAAAACTGACCTGGTGGGGGAAGCCCGTGCTGCAAGGGGCTTGCCTGACAAAAGATAATGATTTTTTTTGGGAAGTCCCCCTTTGTAGACTGGAGTTTTTCAGGACTCAGTTATGAGTCCTTTTCATCTACTCCATCCTTTTTTCCTAATCTGTCACTCAATTCATGGGCTCGGCTGCTGTGCACTTATGGCTTCCATGTTTATGTATTCTGCCCTCATCTCTTCCTGGAACTCCAGGTCATTCCATCTAATTGCGCCCCTGGCCTCTCTACTTGGATGTCTCACAGGTGTCTAGAATTTTACATGTTCACATTTTGATTTTTTTCCCTCCCATGCAGAATGTTTCTGTATCTCAGGGAATACCTGGTGGACATTACTATCTAGGGCTTTAGTCTGAACTGAAAGTGATCTGATGCCACTGTCTCTCGTGAAATTCCCGGGTTCAATTCAGCCACCAGCCAAAGCAATCTGCTTCTCAAGTGCAGCTGGCGTGTGTCTGTTGCCCATCACTACTGCCACGCCATGAGTCCCTGTTACCATTATGTCTGGGCCAGGTTATGCAATGATGTTCTTAGTAGTCTTCCATGTTTGCCCCCTCCTTAGTTTGCCCCCTCCTTAGTTCACTTTCCCCTCTGCTGGCAGAGTGAACCTTTCCAAAAGCAGACCTGGTCACTCCTCTGCCGTCAACCATCCAGCGGCTTCTCATTGCTTCTAGGACAAAGGTCCTCGGTGGGCCACCACTACCCTCCCAGGCTGCCCTACACCTCTCTTGTATGGCACCAGGATTCAGATAGATTTGTCTCGCATTTCTTTGAACTGATCACTTCACACTTCTGTCATATTTTGGAGCCTCCCATATGCTGTCCCCTTGGCCCAGAATAATCTTCACCCCATTCTTTATCTTCCAGATCTCAAGGGACATGCCAGTTCTTTAAAAACTGTTCCGTCATTCTTTTACCTACCTTCCCACGACATCAAGTCAGTTTTCTATTTTTAATTTCATTGGACTCTTTACTTTTTCATTCATAGCACAGGGTGAACATTCCAGATCTAAAGATAAAAAATCTGAAAAGCCTCAAAATCTAAAACTTTTGGAGCACCAGCATGACCCACAAAGGAAGTGCTTGTTGGAGCATTTCAGATTTGAGATAGTCAGATTTGGGATGCTCAACTGGTAATTGTCATGCAAATATTTTTTTAAAAAAAATCAGTATTTGAAACACTTCTGGTTCCAAGCATTCTGGATAAGGAATACTCCACCTGTAATCCTAAAAATGTGATTATATATTTTTATGGATATTTGTTAAATCTTCTTCTGTAAACTCTGGGATGGCAGAGATCCTGTCTGTCTAAGTCTATGGGGCACATGGTAGGTGGTCAATGTGTAGAATGAATGTTCTTCACTATTGGTAAGAAGTGTGTTGGGAGCACTGTGTTTTTAACACTTAATAATACCGATTTGGGTTCAGGGCTACCCTTATAAGAATGCCCTCTGATGGTCTTACATTCCAATGTGGAGGGGCTTTTTTGGAGGGCTTTCCTGCAATCGGGCATGTGAATGTCACCGGGCGTGCAAGCAGCCCACAGCAGCTCCTGCAGCCACACTGGGAGAGGATCAGTCATGTCACGTTGGCTTCAGGCCTGGACATGGATAAAATGCTCAACCAAATGACTCCATGAGCCATGAGCCTCTCTAAGTGGTCCATTAGTAATGTGAATACTGGAAAAGCACAGATATTGCCCCGTGCTCGGCTCTCTTCCTCAGTGCCAGATTCTGTCCTGATATTCTCAGCAAGCCACCTCTCTGTCTTTTCCCCACACTCCTTCCCTCCACTCTCTGCACAGACCCTGCAAGCACTTTACACCACAGCTGCAATGGACAACTTTCCATTCATCCAGCACATCTCTGATTGGGATGCTCTTCCCCGCTGATAAAATCTTGCTTCTCTTCCACAGTCCTAGGCGTATTTCTCCTACTTTGGAAAACCTCTCCCTACATCACCACCACCTCCTGCACACGCTGAAGGAAGAACGTGCTGCTCCCTCCCTTTCTCTCTCCAATGGCTTTGCTCAGACCCTCAAGGTGGGTCTTCATCCTTTCCATGATATTTGGTTTTCACCTAGCTCTGAAGTCTTGTATTCTCATTACCAGCTCTGAAACCCAGAATACAGTATGTGTTCAAGAATTGTTTGCTGAATTGGGTGGAATAAATACATTTTGTCTGTGGTTATGCAGACCTAGATTCCACTAAGCACAGATACACTTTTCATCACATTGTGTGATAACCTCAGGTAGCAATTTATGGTTTCTCATCATTAGGCAAGGGATGGGCTCTCACTTTCCCTGTTCTACTTATCCTGTACTTCCAAAATAATGAAACAAACCAAGGAAGGATACCGTGGGTTACCTTTTCTCTGACCAGCTGGAACATTTCACTAAGGCACCAATTCTATGAGCAAAGCCCTCGCAAATGGTTTCTACTTCAGGTGCACAAATATGTCAGCTCTTGAATCTACGAGCCAGAATTATCTGGCTAATTCCACTAATTGTATATTCAACTTTGCAGTGTAGACACAGCCTCAGTTTTTCCATCTGCAAAATGCAAATAACTATGCCTGCCACTCACAGAATGGCAACATCTTGAAGAATAATGAGGTAATGTCTATAAGAACACTTACAGTAACTCAGAATAAACCTGTCAGAGACATGCCAAGAATGATTATGCTGCTATTTTTGTAAGTGTGTGTGGTTTTGCCACTTTCCTAACATAGCAAAGAAAAGTATAACCACTTGGTTAAAAGAATCCCTATCAAAAAAGAAATAAAATAAGAAAAAGAAAATCCCACCCACAGCAAATATGCTAGGGCATCAACCAGGGCGATAATTATCTTAGAAGGGTTTTGGAGAAGACTCCGATATTTTGCATACAATTTTATATTAATTTCTTTGCAGCCTGGAAGCAGCGTTCCTAAAGTCCAAATCCACATTGTGCCATGGAGAGTTTTAGTAACATCTCGAAAGCTTTACTACGAAGTGACCTTTCAATAAAGGGCAACCGCCAGGGGGACATAAAACACGTTTGCTTTTGTATTTATTATCATTGCTTACGTAAAACATTTATAGAAAAATCAAAATTTGTCCCTTTAAAAATTATGGGTCCATTATCTACCAAGTCACCAAAAATATATTTGAGCCTCATCACTGGATTTGAAAACAATGAGTAACACTAAATGATCATTATCATTGTAAAAATAAGATGAAAATGCGGTTTATAAGAAGGTCTGAAGTAAAAACTTAAACTAAAATAAACACGAAAGTTTCTGTGAGGATTAAAGTGGGAGAAGGATTAGGCAACTTTCCTTTTAGTAAAATTATTTCCTCTTTTTGCATTAAAGAATAACATGTGAAAATTACTTAGAAGCTGAAATACCATTTCAGAGCGCAAGATCCACATGTTTGTCCACTATGATATTTAGATCATGCAGCAGACGGCAGCACTTCTCATTCACCGAATTAAGTGGGCTAGGACCCGCTTTTTTAGCTTCCAAGCGTCCCACTGTCTTGAGGGTTGTGGGATGCACTTTGAGCTGTTCCTAAAGAATCCACCAGAGGGCGGAAGCACACAACCACAACAGCCACAACAGCCTTTCAGTCCTTCCTGGGATAATTTCATCAACAAAAATCAGGTCATTGGATACGGGATGCTACTCATCCTTGTGTTGAAAATATTTAACTGATGTCCAGGTGAAACATTTTAAAGTGAGGATTCTTTCAGTGATTTGAAAAAACCAGTCTTCATCAGAGTAGAGTGTTAAGTACGTGTCAGAGGGCTTCCGAGTCTTTTGCAGGCTTAGTCCCTGGGTTTCAAAGGTATTCTCAGGAGATGGTATTGGCATTAGCACCCATTCTTCAGAAACAGCCTTGTTCTTTTAAAATTTTTTTCCCCTCAGTACATTTTTCCTGAATTTTTTCCCCCTTAACAACATTAGTGGCTAAGAAGTCTATAAGGAGACACTAGGTAGAAACCACACAGGAACTCAAGGTAAGTTTACCTTCTAGTAATTATTTTACAAATATGTTATTCCAAGTGGATTAGACATACAAATACTGCTATGCTGTCACAGAACTGGAATGCCACTAAGTAAGGCGTACTAGGGCCAGAGTGAAGCCTTAATGAGTACTGCTTTAGAGATTTCCTCTACAGAATCTATGAGTTGGCTTATTTTAAGAAAGGTGCAAAACTAAAATGAGAAACACTAAACACTAGATATCATCTTGCTATGTAGTTTATATTTTTACTATAATTGTTCACGAGTTACTAATTCATTTCGAAGTATAGATCGTATACAAAGAATATCACAGAAATATTTATTCAAATCTCTCTGATGTTAACTCCTGAGATGCTGTGGGACTGAAGGAAATGCATAATAAACGGGAAAAGTCTAATCATATGGATTTGAATCAACAATTCCAAGTTGCTATTCATCTGTATTTACTTCGAACTCACTATCATGGGTTGGAGAATGCTGATTTAGACACAGAGAACTCAAGGGACGAGCTTCCCACCAAGACCTAAGTAACCCCTGCTTCTAACATAGACTAAAAGGCGAAAACCACAGTCAATTGACGGTGACAGTGTTTGTTTGTGTATGGTGTGTGTGTGTGTGTGTGTGTGTGTGTGTGTGTGTGGGGTCAAGGATAGAGGTAAAAAATGGGGGAAGAATGCCATGCATTAAACCTTTGTTTCTTCACTTTTATCTGATTATTTAGGAGAACTCTGGAATTCGTACATGGAAGCCAGCCTCGTGGTGCAATGTTCTGTAAATGGGACTGCTCATAGAGAAGCTAGATTCAACATTTTTTTTTTCTCATTAGTTGTGGCACCTTGGACAGTCACTTCTCATTTAGGGGGCCTCAGGTTTCTCATCTGTAAAACAATCAACTGAATAAGGAGATCACTAAGAATCCTTTGAACTCCAAGATTCTATGATTAATACAATTGATCTCTCAGTGAAACAATAGAATTATTAACGCACCGTAGTGCCTAATACTATCAGACATTGGCTTATAAACCGAGAATAAGAGCTCTATATATTTGTGAACTTGGTGAAAGTTGAGAAGGATGGAAAAAGAGATAGAATGGATATAAAAATATGAGTAGAGGGCTGATTTAAATTGAATAGCCTCATTTTTTAGTGCTCTGAATAGAAATAGAAAAAAAAAACATGGTTAGTATTTACTGGCATTGCTATTTTTAGGTCAGCGTTAACAACAAATTTCAATTGTCACACAGAAAAGGTCTTACTGACGTAAACAGCTGCGCAGGGCTTGTGTAAATACAAGAAATCGAAAGCCTAACTCTGTTTCTCATGGGTCAACTCTGTCACTTCACTTTACCAAATATTTGGCTTTAGAATCCTAGCGGCCTATCATTCAAAGCAAGGTAAATATGTCTAGATAGCTAGGACACGGATGTATCTCAAGCTGTATTATTATACCTTTAAGAGCAAACTAGATGCCACCAAACAGCTTAAAGAAATGAGAGGAAAGCACATGACCCGAAGGGCACAAGGGCACAGGACGTGGGACGGTGAGGGCACGTACCTGTCGGGATGAATGCGGCGTGTTGCTGCAGCTGTGCGTTGGTGAGAGCCTGCTGGTAGTGCAAGACGCTGGGGTTAAAGACCGCGCTGGTACCATTGCTTTTTTCAAGTGCTTGTCTCTTTGGTAAAGGATGAAGAGCACCGGGGGGAAAGGCCTAGAAAGGAAGAATTCGATAAGATATGTCTAACTTAAAGCAAATACACCTGCTGTGTCCACAGAGATCATCAATTGCAACATTCTTTTTTTTTTTTTTTTTTTTTTAAACGACAGCTAAGGAGATGCCTCTGCCATGCACCTTAATTTAAACAGCGGCAATGTCGAATGAGTGAGAATTTGTTATTGAGAGCGAAAGCATGATTTCTGTAACCCAAAACGGTAGCATCTCAACTAAAGAAAAGAAAAACTATCAAGCAACAACAACAACAAAAATGGCTTCAGCTTTTAAAATGAGTTAAACTATTCTAAGTGGGGGAAGAAGCATTAGTGTTGTTATTATTAATACCTATTCTTTTGTTTTGTTTTTTTTTTTTAACTAAACGGCAGTTTCTTGAATTGAAAGGTTAATAAGAATTATAACGAACATTTTCTGAGCCAAGTCACTTAAATTTGCTTCACTCTTTTTGGAAAAGGTATTAAAATTTGTTAGGATTCATTTATTTCACGGATTACATATGACAATGAGATGACTAAACACCTTATTGAATTTTGTTCCATAAATTAATAATAATGATTGTTTGCAACCAATATTTTACAAATAATACACATCTCAGATGGTTCTCTGAAAAGCTACATGCAAAGCGAAAGGTGAAAGGTCAAAGTACCAGGTCTACAGTTGCTTCGAGAGGTCGCTTCATTGCTTTGGCAGTCGACTGAGTCTTTTAATAACAGGCAGCGAGCACATGATGGCAGTGGGCCAATGGGATTCAAGCGAATTAACATACAGGTAAACAGCAAGCAGAGGTGCATCATGGGAACGGCATTGCATTGTGGATAGGTGAGAAGGAAAAAAATATTCTGAATGCAATATACAACGTACAAAACACTAGGCATGCACAACAACAAAAATGTTCTCTAAAGAAATGAATATTACACCTTAAATTAGTATCGAAGCAAAAATGCATCTACTATACCTTAGTTAAAAGCATATAAGAGAGTAAAATATAGATGTTTGAAATTCAGGAAAGTTAATTAAAACAGCAGCTTGCATACACACCATAAGCATTTTTTATATTGCTTCAGAAAAAAATGCAAAACTTTTAAGGGCCATAGGATTGAAGAATTTCTGATAAGTTAGTTTCTGCTAAGTAATGAATGTAACAAGTATAAGATCCAAGTTGGAAATTTTCATAAAAAGAAATCTGAATTTAGATCTAGCCTAACAAAGTGAAGTGACAAACTGAGACAAAAAATTCAGGCAAAAAAATATTCAAACACAAGAATATTTAGGCGAAACTGTTTGGGTTTGGATCTTTATTTTTTGTCTGAATCATGTGGATAATTGTCTCAATTCTTTTCTTCACTCTGCTAGTGGGGGTCTTGCAATGTGGACTAAGGTTCCACATTTAATGTCCTGAATTTAAATAGTGAGTTTCCAGAATTCCCCATTTTTATTGCATCATCTTGTTTCTAATGACTAACTTATCATTCATTCTGTTTTCTACTACATTTGAAATTATAATTTCATTTATCTCAAACAACTTACCGGACAACACTAAGAAAATATCCTTTAAAAAGGTATTTACTGTCCTCAGGTATCAAAATAATTTCTATTTAGTAATTCTATTTGTACTTTTAGCTATGATCAGTGACCGACCCCATTAATGAAAAGTGGAACTCTTGGCTAGAACAAGTACAACCGCTACAAATAGCAAACAGCTAAAAATAGCAAAGAACTGCTTGAAAGATTAAAAGTAAAGAAATATTTTAAACTTATAACCATACTTTTTGGAAAAATAGTTTCGTTTAAACAGCTGAAATAATAACAAATATGGATAGTTTTAGACCACAATGAAAAATTTTTCTATTTCGTGTTAATTATTGTAAAAAAAAAACAGTCTAAAAATTATGTGATGGAATTCTGTAAAAATAAAGAAATTCAAAGGAATAGCTCTAATGCAAATAAAAATGAAATATCCCTTTTCTATGCTTAGCACAATAGGTAAATCCCTAAGGTTTGTCTAATCAACACAAATATTATGTTCTAAAGTTCCGAGATAGAACTGTGCCATATGAAATAAAATGCAATAGAACCAAGCCCTTATAGTGGGAAGCAATGAATGCCATTTTGCTTGGCAAATAAAGGATATTCATTATCCTTTGATGATTTGGGATAACAAATATGGAAATGATAGATGATAGGGGGAGATCTATGGAGGGGGAAAAAGGGAGATTAGAAATAAAGCAGAAAGGGCTATAGGTAGAGAAGAGATTTAGAATAGCCAATGGAGAAGAAAATGTTTTGGAAGGTAGTTTTGAGAGAGCCATCAAATAATATAAAATCAGGGCTGTGAGAGTAAATTTGTGAACATTAAAAAACAATGAGCTCAACAATAAGAAAACTTATGCATACTGGGTATTCTTTCCTCACGTGGAAGTCTGATATCATGCAACTTCCAGGACGCCATTTTTGTTGAACATCCTCTATCCCTGCACAATTTTACCTTGCTAAGTAATGCAGGGTTTTGTTTTGGTTTGGTTTGATTTTTGAGCTTCAATTAATCTTCATTAACTAAAGGAAGCTACATGGCTGATTCTCATAAAGCCCACTGAGAACATCAACTGGATGGTTAAACTCAAAATCACATTGGCCTCAACTTTCTGATCTCAATTTTTCGTCTTTAAAATTTACAGAACGAATCCACTAACGGGCTGATCTTTTCTGACAAGCTGACTAGAAGAGTAATTATGTCTCCAAAGGCTGGTATGTATGAACAAAATTTTGATTTCACAAAGCATCATTTAATGAAGTCTCAGAGTAGAATAAGACACATTAAATATTTCTCTTTAGGATTGTCACCTGGAAGGTAAATGCTCTCCTTTTTCCTGTCTTAGTTTGGTGAAACTTAATTTTCATAGAATTTAGAATAATCTAGGAATGTAAAACAAACAAACAAAACAAAGCAAAACTGAGAATTCTAAAGTGAGCAGGACAGTGGCAGCATCTCCTTTCTATCGCTCCATGGTGTAAATTTTCTTTATTAGATGGAAATATCATCTTTTCAAGTAAACACTGAGGTCCTGGAGGATGGGCCATACATATGAACATCTTATACATCCCACCCTGTGAAGCTCTTGTGTATAGAATGTATTTTAAAAATCAGTGTGGATGAATAATCATGTTATAATATGCTTTTTAGTATGGTTTTTAGGTGTTTTACGTGCTATTGTTCGACTGCCCATATATATTTACCTACATGGAAAGACCTTCAGGCTTAGGACAGACCCTACAGATCATGGAGTCCGGTGTGTCCTAGGTGCCTCCTTAGGCACCAATACAGAGAAACAGGTTCTTTTTAATTGAGCCCCTACAATGTGCCAGGCACTTGGAGTTCATTCTTGCCTGCCTTACCTACACTCTGCTCCTCTGGGCTCCTCCAGCTTTGTGTGAATGGGTGATCGGTCAGAGAAGGCCCTAGCGACAACCAGGCTTTTCTTTTTCTGGATCGAGGAACAATCCAACAATCCCACTATGGGTCGAGGTCATCAAACCAAGAGCCCATGCCAGGCATTACAGGCAAAGACCAAATCTGAGGAGTCTGGAAACGCTGACAACAGTGATCAGAGCTGCCACTTTAATGCAGAAGAAAAGGGAGCAGACACAGAGCACGGAATTCAAAGTTCCTACACACATTCTCTTGAACAATCAAAACTTATCTAGCTGGTGGCAGCTTGTCCTGCTTCCTTTGGCAAAATAGTTCTTTCCTTGTGTTACTCATTTGGGTGTACGTGAACAAATACTACTTATATAAAGATCAGATGCCCTTTGTGTTAAAACTACCAAAGAGAAGTTTTGTCTGGCTTATTCTCACATTTTAAAAACTATGGTGAGGGAGATACTTATGTTTTAAGAGGTATTTAAAAGGCTCCAAAGGAAATAAATGTCTCTTTTTCTGGAGTTAATACAATCGCATTCTTTTCAGGGGGTCTAATTAATCAAAATAAGGGGGAATCCCCAGACACTAATCCATGTGGCATCATAGAAATGCTTTGGGTTCAGATGTGGAAGACAGGTGAACGGGCTTCTCCTAACTGCAGTCATCACTGCCCTTTTACCCTTTTAAATAAGGAAATAAAATAACAGTTTTTCTTCAGTGTATCAAGTACTAGAGTAAGAATACTTTTACTGTATCCAACTGCATCCAAGCTGGTTTCAAATGAGCCTTGCACTTCAACTGAGAATACATGACACATTCAGTAATTTTCATGTCATTGTCAGAAAGAACCTGGCTTCTGTTCTGAAACTACATTCCTTTGGGTTGTCTTTGCAGATGCTGCAAGATCCTCTGACTTATCAGAATTCCAAATTTGGGCACAGTGTAACACTCCAAGAAACTATGGTAACTAACTCTACCCGCATTCCCTGCCATAATCATCTTTATGCATCTCGAGGAGTGTAATGTGAAAACAGGTAGAAAGACACATTGAAGCATATAGCTTTGACTTAAAGATATGTGGCCGAGGAATGACCTATTTGTGCAAATGACTGCCTCGCCTCTTAACCCCATGGGCCCAGGTTATTGACCACTGACATATACTAGGTGAAGATGTCAGAGTTGCTGCTTGTAGGAAACAGGCGGGTAAAATCAGAGTTCGGCCCTAAGGTCACTATTAGTACCATGGTTTGATGTAGTAGCAGGTACAGGTATATATTATTTTATTGCACTTGGCCTAGAAGGCGTTTTTTGTTTTTTTTTTTAATTGAAGATTGGTGGCAATGCTGCATCGAGCAAGTCTATCAGCACCATTTTCCCCAAGGCATCTGTTTTGTGTCTTTGTCACATTTTGGTAATTCTCACAATATTTCAAATTTTATTATTATTATTATTAATCTGTTTTGATGATTTGTGATCAGTGATCTTTGATGTTACTATTGTAATTGTTTTAGAGTGCCACGAACCATGTCCGCATGAGACAGGGATCTTAATCAATAAATGTGACGTGTGTTTTGACTACGCCACCAACCGGCTATCTCTACATCTCTCTCCTTCTCTTCAGGACTCCCTATATACCCTGACACAAACAATATTGAAATTAGGTCAGTTAAAAACTCTACCATGGCCTCTAAGTGTTCAAGTGAAATGAAGTCACGCGTCTCTCACTAGAAATCAAAAGCCAAAAGCTAGGCTTCCTGCACTGAACAGTTAGCCAAGTTGTGATTGCAAAAGAAAAGTTCTTAAAGGAGATTAAAAGTGCTACTCCAGTGAACATACATATTATAAGAAAGCAAAACAGCCTTGTTGTTGATATAAAGAAAGTTTTAGTGTTCTGGAGAGAAAATCAAATCAGCCATAACATTTCCCTTAACCAAGGCCTAATCCAGAGCAAGGCCCTAACTTTCTTCAATTCTATAAAGGCTGAGAGAGGTGAGGGTGCTGTAGAAGAAAACTCTGAAGATAGCAGGGGTTTGGTTGATGGGCTTTAAGGAAAGAAGCTGTCTCCATAACATAAAAGTGTAAGATGAAGCAGCAAGTGCTGACAGAAAGGCTGCAGCAAGTTATCCAGAAGATCACTGAAGAAGGTGGTCACACTACACTACAGATTTTTTTCTCCTCCCCCTTCCCCGCCCCCCACAGATTTTTAATGTATGCAAATCAGCCTTCTATTGGGAAAAGATGCCATCTAGGACTTTCATAGCTACAGAGGAGAAGTCAATGCCTGGCTTCAAGACTTCAAAGGACAGACTGACACCCTTGCTCAACGCTACTGCAGTGGATGACTTTAAGTTGAAGCCAATGCTCACTGATGATTCTGAAAATCCTAGGGTCCTTACTAATTTTGCTAGATCTACTCTGCCTATGTTCTGGAAATGGAACAACAAAGCCTGGAGGATAATAAATCTACTTTTCGCATGATTTATTGAGTATTTTAAGCCAAAGGTTGAGGCTTACTGCTCAGAATAAAAGATTCTTTTTAAAATATGACCACTCATTGGCAATGTACCTCATCATACAAGAGCACTGATGGAGGTGTACAAGGACATGAATGTTGCATTTGTGCCTGCTAACGCGACATCCATTCTGTAACCCATGGATCAAGGAGTCATTTTGATTTCCAAGCCCGATTAATTAAAAAATACTTTTTGTTAGTCTGTAACTGCCATAGATGGTGATTACTTTGATTGATCTGGGTGAAGTCAGCTGAAAGCTTTCTGGAAAGGATTCACAATTCTAAATAGCATTAAGAACACATATGGCCAGGTGCGGTGGCTTATGTCTATCATCCCAGCACTTTAGGAGGTGGAGGTTAGAGGACTGCCTGAAGTCCAGGGGTTCAAGACCAGCCTGGGTAACTTGGGAAGACCTCATCTCTACAGTAAATCAAAAAAATTAGCCAGGCATGGTGGCGCATGCCTGTAGTCCCAGCTACCTGGAGGGCTGAGGTGGAAGGATTGCCTGAGCCCAGCAGGTCAAGGCTGCGGTGGCCGTGAGTGTGCCACTCTACTCCATCATGAGTGACAGAGTGAGACTCAGACTCAAACAAACAAACAAACAAACAAACAAAAAACACGTGATTGATGGGGGGGTCAAAATATAAACAGAAGTTTGAAGGTGATTCCAACCCTCATGGATGACTTTGAGCAGTTCAAGACTTAAGTAGATGTGAGAATGTGTCCCTACCGATGGCTAAGAGGAAGTGATTTCAAATGGGGTGGAAATAGTGAGAGAATTAGAAAAGTGGAGCCTGAAGATGTGAGTATACTGCTGCAATTTCATGATAAAACTTTAACGGATGAGGAGTTGCTTCTTATGGAGGAGTGAAGAGTTTCTTGAGATGGAATCTACTTCTGGCAAAGATGCTGTGAACACTGTATCATTGTAACATTGCTAAAATGACAGCAAAGGATTTAGAACATTGCATAAACTTAGTTGATAAAGTAGCAGCAGGGTTTGAGAGCACTGACTCTAAATCCCGCGCCTTTGGGAGGCTGAGTGGATTGCCTGGGCCTGAGGGTTCGAGACCCGCCTGGGCAACTTGGCGAGACCTCATGTCTACAATAAATCAAAAATTAGCCGGGTGTGGTAGCGTGCGCCTGTAGTTCCAGCTTCTTGGAAGGCTGAGGCGGAAGGATCACTGGAGCCCAGCAGATTGAGGCTGCGGTGGCCGGGAGTGGCCACTGTACTCTAGTCTGGGTGACAGCGTGAGACTTCAACTCAAAAAAAAAGAAAAAATTTGAAAGAAGTCCTACTGTGGGTAAAATGCTATCAAACAACATTGCATGCTACAGAGACATCTTTCATGAAATGAAGAGTTCACTGATGTAGCAAGCTTCATTGTTGTCTTATTTTAAGAAATTTTCTTAAATTTAAGAAATTGTCACAGTCACTCCAACCTTCAGCAATCACCACCCTGATCAGTCATGCCACCAACAGCAAAGCAAAACCCTCTACCAGCAAAACGATTACGACTCCTCGAAGGCTCAGATTGCTAGTAGCATTTTTTTTGTAATAAAGTGTTTTCTGACTAAGGTATGTGCATTTTTTAGCTATTGCATACTTAAAATACCACAGTACAGTATAGTGTACACATAATTTTTATATGCAATGGGAAACCAAAATGTGTTTTATTGCGATATTCACTTTATTGTGACGGTCTGGAACCAAACCCACAATATCTCTGAGGTATGTCTGTATTTGAATTATGGGAACTAAAGTTTCCATAGCCCTAGGGCCTCATTCCATACCCCAGTGGGCAGAGATGGCCATGGAGGCCTAGGGTAAGCCAATCATGGCATCTTATCTTGTTGGCCACAGGGATTGCCATCAAAATGGCCCTTAGCTGTTTTGTTGTGTTTTTTTTTCCTACTTAGACCTGGTATTGAAGATATCATTTTCTCACTTGTGAAAAGATGTGAGAAAGTGACCCTACAGATGTCTAAAGCCATGGTCTGGGTTCTGTAGAGAAGCAAGCCTTGGAAAATTGGTGTTGACATTCCAAGAAAAACTGAGAAGGGAAGGAGAGAAAGACCTGATGGTTCTGAAGTTTCTGGACCTAGGCATTCCTGAGTCCTGTTTTGCCTCTACCCTCTTTAGAGGGCACTTTGAGCTGGCAAAGTCCAAGTATTTTATTTAAGTTACTTCATTTGGGTTTTTGCCTCTTGAGACCAGAGTCTTGACTAGCCTTGAGAATACCCTGGATGCTAGTTATGATTTATAATATGAATTTTCTAATTGAAAAGTGTTCTTAGTGTCCATCAATCAACACACCAGTTAGGATAAATTGGGACTGCCTAAAAGAATGATTACAATGAAAAACTTCTTACAGGCTGCGATCTTCACTGAAGTAGATAGTAAAATGAATTCTATCCTGGAGAAAGGTATAAAGGATCTCATTTTCTCTCTCAAAAAATTCCTCTTTCATCAGCATGAAGTGATCAATTTATTCTCCTCTTCCCTCTCCTCCTCTCCATTCCCAACTATAATGAGTTTTGAAAACTATTACTGGAACAACAACAACAAAAAAGAGGAATTCTCCTTTTTTTGTACTGACCCTCTTGTGTGAATGCTTACATCCTCACATCTACAGGAGCTCACACACTCAGAAAAATCAGTATTACATCCAAAGACCTAAGAATGAGAAGGAGGAGAGAAAAGGACCCTAAAGGGACAAGGACTTGAGAAAAACAAACAAACAAACAAACAAACAGTGAGACAGATGATGGACCCAGTGTTCAAGAGTCTTAGAAATCAGCTCAGATTGGAAGGATCCCTGTATCCACAAACTCCACACCAAGTAGTAATGACTTCTGCATGCCCCGTGCCTTTCTCTCTGTATCCTTGTCACTTATCACAGGCCTACGCCTTTTAATTAACATTTGTGAGAGGAATGCAGGATCATATTTGTTTGTGTGAGAGCTACCCTTCTATTTTAGTCAGGTATCCGTGTATGAGGTGTGGGTTGCTATCTAGAACAGTGTGTTGCTGAAGTATACCTTTGATCTCTGAAATCATATCTATCCTTCTCCATGGGGGCCTGGCCACTGGGTCCTTCTTGGCCACAGGACCCCATTCTGCGAGTCCATCATGCCACTGAGGAACATTATTTCTCTCAGCTACTAATGTCCAAACTCCTTGAGGGCGGGGAAACCTGCCTGATTAACTAATTCTACCTGGCAATGCCTGATGTACAGTCTCATTAGATGTTCTGAATGAGTGAACACATCGTGCCTATCGCGTGTTAAGATAGATTTCTGATAAGCCGGAGTGCTCACATAAGAACAAATTCATTAGAAACTTCTACAACTGAGTGCAATGATTCTCACACTTTGCTGTGCATTGGAATCATCCGGGAGTATTTTAAAAATGTCACTGCCTGGGCCACACCCACACCAATTAAAAAAAAAAAAAAAAAACTTTAGGGAAAGGGACAAATGTCAGACCCTTCAGTTAATTCCAAAATGTAGCCAAGTTTGAGAAGCTGTATCTAGGCAGGTGCTTCTCAAATATTAATCTGCATAAAAACACCTGGGGATGTTTTAAAAATTCAAATTCTGATCCGGAAGGTCTGGGGTAGCAGACCCAAGATCCTGCAGGTCTAACAGGCTCCCGGGCTATATTAAGGATGGCGTTTCGGGTCTCCAAGGGACAGCTGGGCTCCAGGAGACGCTGGAACTGTAGCTGGCCCTCGGGTGATGATAATGATGCTGATCTCCAGGGGACAGTAACGTGACTCAGGGAAACAAGCCTGGGATACAGGTCTTTTTTTCCCCCTTTAGCACAAACCTGTATGGCTTCATTTCCTGCTCTTTCATGAGTTGCCATCCTACCCACAAGTCCACGGGGGCGTGAGGAGTTGGACAAACACTGCCCTTGTGATAAGTAAAAGAAGAGGCGGAAAAACTGGAAAAGGGAAAAGCCACTCGCGGCTGAGGTCCCGCGTGGCTGGGTGTCTCCAAGGCCACAGCTCTCCTCCGAGGCTGCTCCCAGAAGCTTGCGGCTTCCTCCGGCCGAGGGGCGCCCGTCCAGCTTGCTTTTCTACGCTGGGGCCCACCTTCCAGTTGACCAGGAGGCCCCCTGAGCCTCTCCCCTCGGAAGCCCCCCACCC